TTCTTCATGGCACATTATAATTAGATTGTATAAAGTCAAAGACTGAATCTTAAAAACAACAAAATAAGGCATCTATAAAGGAAACCACATCATACTTACAGTGAATTTCTCAGCAGAAACCTTGCAGGCTAGAAAACAATGTGATGATACTGGGGGGAAAAAACACAAAAACAAACAAATGAAAAAAACCCTGCAGGTCGGGCTCGGTGGTTCAGCCTGTAATCCCAGAACTTTGGGAGGTTGAGGCGAGTGGATTGCCTGAGTCTGCGGGTTCGAGACCAGCCTGGGCAACTTGGCAATACCTCGTCTCTACAATAAAATTTTTTTTAAATAGCCAGACATGGTAGCGCATGTCTGTAGTTCCAGCTACTTGGAAGGCTGAGGCGGAAGGATCGCCGGAGCCCAGCAGGTCAAGGCTGCGGTGGCCGGGAGCAGCCACTGCACTCCAGTCTGGGTGACAGAGTGAGATTCTAACTCAAAAAAAAAAGATGTAGTATAACTGAATGTTGCTTACAAGAAATACATATTACCAGTTAAGGCACATCACCAGGATAGACAGAAAGTAAAGGGATGGTGAAGGTATTTCATGCAAGTGAAAATAAAAACCGAGCAGTAGTACCTATACTTGTATCAGATAAAACAGACTCTAAGTCAACAACAACAACAAAATTTAAAAAGACAAGAAAGTCATTATATAATAATAAAGGGATCAATCTAGCAAGAGGATATCACGGTGTTAAGTCTGTATGTGCCCAACATCATAGCAACCAGATTCATAAAGCAAATACTACTAGATCTAAAAAGAGAGAATGAGGCCGGGCTCTGTGGCTCAGCCTGCAATCCCAGCACTTTGGGAGGTCAAGGCGAGTGGATTGCCTGAACCTGCAGGTTCGAGACCCGCCTGGGCAACTTGTCGAGACCTCGTCTCTACAATAAATAAAATATCAGCCAGGCGTGGTAGTGCACGCCTGTAGTTCCAGCTACTTGGAAGGCTGAGGCAGAAGGATCACCAGAGCCCAGCAGGTCGAGGCTGCGGTGGCCGGGAGTGGCCACTGCACTCCAGTCTGGGCGACAGAGTGAGACTCCAACTCAAAAAGTAAAAATAAAATAAAATAAAAATAAATAAAAAGAGAGAATGACCTCAATACAATAACAGTGTGGAACTTCAACACCCCATTCTCAGTATTAGATAGAAAGAAAATCAACAAGGAATTAAACCGGACTTTAGACTAAATGGACCTAGCAGACATTTACAGATCATTCTAGCCAACATTCCTCCAGGCTAAGCCATATATTAGGTCACACATTGTTGAAAACAGATTTCAACAAATTTTTAAAAATTGACATCATATCAAGTATCTTTTCAAACCACAATGGAATAAAACCAGAAACCAATATCAAGAACTTTGAAAACTATGCAAATACATGGAAATTAAACATCAAGCTTCTGGATGACCATTGGGTCAACAAAAATTTTAAGTTGAAAATTTTAAATTTCTTGAAAAAATAAAAATGTAAACAAACTAAAATCTGTAAGATACAGCAAAATAAGTGCTAAAAGAGAAGTATAGCAATAAAAGTTTACATTGGCCAGGCGCAGTGGCTCATGCTTATAATTCTAGCACTTTGAAAGGTCAGAAGTTCAAGACCAGCCTGGGCAACACAGAGAAACCCCTCCCTACAAAAAAGAGAGAAAAACTATATAAAAATAGTAGAAAAGGCTGGGCTTGGTGGCTCAGCCTCTAATTCCAGCAGTTTGGGAGGCCTAGGCAAGTGGATTGCCTGAGCCCGCGGGTTCAAGACCCACCCGGGTAACTTGGTGAGACCTTGTCTGTACAATAAATCAAAAATTAGCCAGGCAGTAGTTCCAGCTACTTGGAAGGCTGAGGTAGAAGGATCACCAGAACCCAGCAGATCGAGGCTACGATGGCCGGAAGTGTGCCACTGCCCTCCAGCCTGGACGACAGGCTTAAAAAAAAAATGAGTAGAAAAGTTGCAAATTTAGCAGAAGAAAAGAAACAATAAAAAAAAATCAGAGCAGTTAAATAAAATAGAAACTTTAAAAAATAATCAAAAGAAAAACTGACATTTTTGAAAAAATAAACAAAAATAATAAACTGCTACCTATACTAACCAAAAAAAGAAGTCAGAAAACCCAAATATACAAAATCAGAAATGAAAAAGGAGACATTACAATTGATACCACAGAAATACAAATGATCATCAGCTGCTATTATGAACAACCATGTGCTGACAAACTGGAAAAACTAGCAGAAATGAATTAATTTCTGGAAACCTACAACCTGCCAAGGTTGAATCAGGAAAATATAGAAAACTTTAACTGACCAAGAGTGAGTAGTAATATTGAATCAGTAATAAAAAGTCTCCCAAAAAAGAAAAGGCCAGGACTTGATGGTTTCACAGCAAAATTATACCTAATGTACAAAGAACTAATATCAATCCTTGTGAAATTATTCACAAGAATGGAAGTGGGATTTCTTTCTCACTCATTCTACATAGGCCAGCATCACCCTATATCAAAATTAGGTAAGGAAATAACAAAAGAGAGGGAGGGAGGGAGAAGAAAGAAAGAAAGAAAAAACCCGGGCTCGGTGGCTCAGCCTGTAATCCCGCGCCTTGGGAGGCTGTGAGTGGATTGCCTGAGCCTGCCGGTTCGAGACCCGCCTGGGCCACTTGGGGAGACCTCATCTCTACAATAAATCAAAAAAATGAGCCGAGCACGGTAGCGCGCGCCTGTCGTTCCAGCTAGTTGGAAGGCTGAGTTGGAAGGATCGCGGGAGCCCAGCAGGTCGAGGCTGCGGTGGCCGGGAGCGGCCACCGCACTCCGGTCTGGGGGACAGA